AAAAGTAATAACATCCTGACAGAGCTTAATGACTCTGAGTTGGCAGTCGGCATTAGCCTATATTCCAGAGTACATGGAGAGGTTGGAAATTAGGATTGCCAAAAAATGTATACTAATCAAAACTACTCTAGATCTAGATACTCAGTGGAACAAGTACTGATACTAGGCCTGCCACGGTATATACTATATCGACTTATCATTCAAAATATGTTGGATGGAACAATATTTTGGGGGGGCTAGTATTTATTGTGTGTATAGTTTCTTTGCACTCCTACATTTTATAATTATTTTTTGGCTATATAAATGGTTGAATTAATAACTTCTCTGACCCATTACAGATGTACACTAAATACTAATGTGTTTCAGTCTGCTATTTATTTATTGCAGGTCATGTTTTTTTTTTAGTTTTTTTTTTTAGCAATGTTATCGATTTAGAAGTTTTCTTTTTCTTTTTTTTTTTTGTGTGTGTGTGGTTTAAATCTGCTCTTGGATAATTGTGTCAGTCTCATAACTTAATATTATTCAATAGTCTCAATATTATTGTTTATTGTTTATTGTATTACTGTGACAGGCCTATTTGATACTGAAAAAATAACATATTAAAATAACATATCATATTTAATATATAATTTTGTGCAAATTATATTACACAAAATATGATGTTTCCTGAATATTTGAAGATGGTCTTGATCTATATCAGACTGCATGATAATTCTTAATAAATTAATATTATGTTTAGTTTGAAATTACATTATACTTAGGCCTGTCGCAATAATTACTAAATTTACTTATATATTACAAATGGAACCATTATTTTGGGTGGTCAATATTCATCATGGTGCTTTTTCTTTGCACTAGTTGGAAATGTTTGGTTCTTTTTCTGTACTATGATGAAATCTGAGCTGTAGCGGATTGAATTAAATCCGATGAAATCCGAGGCCATGGTTCTCGGCCAGAAAAAGGTGGCTTGCCCTCTGCAGGTGAGTAGAGAGTCCCTGCCTCAAGTGGAGGAGTACAAGCATCTTGGGGTCTTGTTCATGAGTGAGGGGAGTGAGGGATCAGTGCAGTGTCTGCAGTGACATGGTCACTGTATCGGACCATTGTGGTGAAATGAGCTGAGCCGAAAGGCAAAGCTCTCGATTTACTGGTCAATCTATATCCCTACTCTCACCTATTGTCATGAGCTTTGGGTAATGACCAAAAGGACAAGATCGTGGATACAAGTGGTCGAAATTAGTTTCCTCTGCAGAGTGGCTGGGTGCTCCATTAGAGATAGGGTGAGGAGCTCAGTCACACAGGAGGAGCTCGGAGTAGAGCTGCTGCCCTTCCTCATCGAGAGGAGCCAGCATGAGGTGGCTTAGGCACGTCTCCCTACGTCCCCTCCCACATCTCAGGAAGTGTTCCAGGCATGTCCCACCGGAAGGAGGCGCCAGGGAAGCCCCAGGACACGCTGGAGGGCCTATGTCTCTCGGCTGGCCTGGGAACACCTTGGGGTCCCCCCGGAGGAGCTGGAGGAAGTGTCCTGGATGAAGGAAGTCTGTCTGGGAGTCCTTGCTTAGACAACTGCCCCTGTGACTCGGCCCCGGTAAAACAGAAGAAAATGGATAGATGGATTGAATTATGAACTTCTATGACTCATTATAAATACTACAGGGTGTTACATTATGTTATTTATTGCAGTTCATATTTTTAACAATATTGTGCATTTAGAATAGTTTTTTTGTAATAATTATGCTTTAGGATATGGTTTCAATAGTACTGTTTATCATTTAGATTTACTTTAGCAATATATTTCACTTCAAAATGTCTTATTGTGACAGATCTAATTATACTGTCATATGGTGAAGTTTTTACATATTGTTTTTATTCTCATTGCAGTAATATATGGCTAGTATTTTAAATTGAGCATGTTTCTATTATAGAGTTAGAATTTATATCTTCATTCTACAACAAACTAGTCAAAAAAGAGCACGTTTTGCACGTCCTTGCAATCGCCAGCAGCCATACTGTGACTGGGCAATGTGTCTTGTTCCAGTACACAATGACAGGTGACACTCCAATGAGGTCTATAGGCTTCGTTTTCTTTAAAAAATGTAGCAACTGTTTTGGTGATAAGCAAGTAATAGCTTACAATTAAATCTGAGAAAAGCACTGTCATTTGTACATTATTTTAATCACACACTTAATTGTCTTTTTATATTGGGCCAGAAATGATTTTCAGCAATTCTCTGGTTATATGTTGAGTCACACACAGAACAAGAAACCAAACAGAGGCTGCCACTGAAATCCGTGTTCTGAATGACTAGTGATTTATAACAATAAAATTGCCACTATTGTGGTGATTTGCAGAACCCACTTCTGCTCTACTGTGGTGTTCCAAAAATGTGGATTTCATTTGGCTGCAGACACCAATCTGAAACTAAGAATAAAAATGATATTTGAAAATATTAAACTATAATCCTTGCCTATCTTTTTGCCACTTAATCACAGTGGGCCAAATTTTAAAATAATTTCTTAAATCCTTTTCCATCCTAACATACTGAAATTCAGCTGCTTTACTCTCCTTCAAGAATGTTTATGGTTTCACTTTTTTCAAATATCAAAGATATTTTTAGTTAGACATGGCCAAAGATTGTGCAAGCATTTTGTACTGGAGAATATTATAGGGGCATGTTAAATGTATGTTGAATATCTTGGATGTTATAACAGCAGAGTACAGGTCATGAGCCCCAAGAGAAGGTCAACTTCTCCAGCCTCTCCAAACACTCAGCGCATCAGTAAGGCTTCGTCACATGTCAAGAAGTCACCCTTTGGTTTGGTTCAAATCATAACACATATTTTCTGCTTTCACCTCATGGGACGCAGCCTTCTGGCCACAAGTTTCAACCACATAAAAACATTGCTTTTAGAAGACGTAAGCTTTTGATCTGGCTATCCACAGTCCAACACTGTTCCATTGCTCTCAAAGGGAATCTATAATTAAGAAGTTGGACAAAAAGACAAGAGTTTACACAAGGTGAACTATTTTATGATGTATTCCTTTTAATTTTCTTGGAGCTGTTTATGTACTCACACTGAAGACATAATGCCACATGAAGAGGGCAATTTATGAGTAAGTTACAAAGCCATTGACCTCGGTACTGGCAGTTATGTCTTTTGAGTCCTCAAAAGCATCATCAGCATCGGGTCACATAAGCCCTGACACAAATATGGCTTTAAGCTACTGTTGGCATTTCAATTTTGGCAAACGCGTATGGATTGCCCTTGCGCTGAAAATGATTACATGTTGCCAGACCTTTTTGCTATTGAAAAGATCAGCAGATTGAACAGGGCGTCGAATAAAGCCATTTGGGCTGCGGTCCTCATTATATGCACTGCACACTACACATGGCTTAGGCAAAGGAAAAAAAAAAAAAAAAGTTAATTTAAATATTTAAATTTGTATAGAAGAGCAGCGGTTACGTTGATAACATTTGTGTTTGTGTGTTTGTGGTTTTTTTTTGTTTTGTTTTTTTTGTAAAGAGGGTTAGGTGATGACATTTTATTTAGTTATCTCAAGCAATGGATTAGAATTCATTGCTAACAATAACAGCGCCAAACAGTGACTACATTTATTAGGTAACTTGCCACATTTATTTCCCTGGGACTGTTCCACAAGTGATGACCTATGATCCTAAGCAAATCCACACCATGAAGCTGCAGTACACTCATTTTATTTAATTTAATATTAAAAAATAAATAAATACATAAAATCTGCAGTTTACATTCACCACATATGGTCTCAGATCTTTATTCATTTTGTTTGAGACTACATTGTATTGGCCATGAATACTCCAAATCAGACCCATTATCGAAAGACTGCAGTGACAATCAAGACAACAATGTTGCCGCAAAATACAGATAATGCTTCAAACAGCAGCAGCTTGTCTAATTCCATTGAGCTGCTATCAGTATCACGCGCACTTATCTCGCCTTTAGGCCAAACAGTGACACCTGGTGAAGAAGAGCGTGAGCTCCCCTCGCAGTCAGCCAGGAGAACAGCAATCAGTGCAAGTTGAGGGAACACGCCACGGTAACTTTGCTTAGCGTCGAGGTGTCACGCGCGCGCACTAACGCACACGGACGCACAAGCCACTACACAACTATGTTCCACACAAGAGATGATTGAGTGCATAGGCCTAGCACCTGGGCTAAGTGATTCCAGATCAGATTGCACGCAATTCATTAAACAGAACCATTGAAACAAAACATTAAAAAAAAAAGAAGAAGAAGAAGAAAATACGAAACAGGAAGAAGGCTCTATCTGTATATGGGATAGCATGACAATCACTTTTAGTCAAAGCTGAATGCTCTTTCCGGACTGGGGCTCTGAGTGTGCTTTGAAACACACACACACACACACACGCAAGAAGAAAATGAGATTGAACTCCTAAAATATATTAGCTTTATACGCGCTTCCGTTGATACTGATACGGCCTGTACCTGTTTATATTACACCTTGCCCCTGGCTTGACAGCTGTTATTTAGACTAGGTTTGTTTTAATAGTCTCATTTCGAGCTATTATATGTCCGTTTCTTTTCTGCAGCATCGCGTCGTCCAAAGATGCTGGCTCACACGGCTCACGCACGCACGCACGCAGCAGCCAAGTGCACATAATCAATAAAACAACTCATTTGCATAATGTTTAGCTACTGTAGTCCTATAACACCGGAGGACAGTTTGTATTCCTTTAATAGGCGGGTGACGACATTGAGCCAAAGCGTGGCAGCAGCGTGAAAGGACACGTTAGAAGACGGGGGTCAGCGTGAATTATGAAGGCAAAGATTTAGCCATAAAAGGGACAAAACCGGCCAGCACAGTAACATGCTGACCACGCAACATCGCCATATCTGTGCCACTGAGCTGTATTAAAGCGCCACCTTCCCGTTCTCTACCTCGTGGTCAGACCCCCAAAACACTAATCCCACAAAAAGGTGCTGTGTTCAGTGTTATGTCTTACCTAAAACTGACTCTCCCCTCTTCGCGGTAGCTGCGGTCCAAGGTTTGTTAGTTGTCGAGCCAACAACTTCTGCTGTAGCATATGTATCCAGTGTTCATGCTGGTGGCTCAGTCGGTGATGTTGGATTGCGGATGGTTTGGCAATCCTTTTCATGCTCAAGGGAAAAAAATCCTCTTTTTCGGCGTGGTCTCTGGCATTGGCGCGCTCTAGGACGAGAATAAGAAAAAAAAAAGGTAGAAAAAATTACAAGTAGCGAAGTCCGTCAGCGGGGAGAGAGGAAAACGGAACTCTCGGGATGATTAGGGAGATTTATGCCGACGTGTTTTCTTTGAACTCTTTTTTTCTGTAGGAGCAGGAGGACGGATCTCGAGGAAGAGGAGGCTGGGATGCACAGACCGAGGGCGAGAAAGGGGAGGTACAAAGAATACAGTCGCGTATTGTAGAGGACGGTCATAGCAGACAGTAAAAGGGGTGGGTCCGGGCGTGATGAGGCGGAAGAGAGGCGAGGGAACAGAGGGTGGATGAGGATAAAACGCGGTGTCGTGACTTTTTCATGCTTCTGGGTAAATATTTAGCCCAGGCAGCGCACACGGACACACGGATGCAGTCACCAGAGGGAATTGGGTTCAGATGCGTTCAACACGAAAGGAAACTAGGCTATGTGGTAAAATAAAGAGGTAAGCTCGCTAAATGCCTCTTATAACACGTGTAGGATGTGTACTTAAAAAAAAAAAAAAAAAAGACTGGCCACAATAGCCTACACACATAGTGACATTTTGTTTGGTCTTAAGGGACAAGTTTTATTTGCAATAAAAGTTGGAATGGTGTCGCTGTCCGTGGTCCTGAAGTTGAAATACAATCAATTAGCTTAATAAAAAAGAAAAGAAAACAGCCCAGCAGACAACAACATAAGAGGATGTAAGCTTAACAGATACGGTTAGACACTTTCCCATTACTACACGACATAAAACACAACAGGTGGTTCAACATGTCTGAATCTTTAAACACAAAGTGATAATGTAATGCAAAATGTGTTCATTTTACTTTTGTCAGTGTGTGTGGTTTTCCAAATATTATACAAGACTGAAAATCTGTCTGGTGTAGGTTGAATATATATTCTTTGGTCTCATTAAAAATACATCTATACACATGCTTCAGTCCATGTTGAAGTGGACATCTTCTTATGATAACTCCCCAGGACATGACTTTCTAGACTAGGACAGCATTATAGCAGTAGTGGACAGCTCTCACTATAGTCCTCCAAAGGTCCACTCAGAGTCAAGTGTCTCTAGCATCCACCAAGGGCCACAGAAAACGTGCTGCTGCTGCTGTTACTGCTGCATGGAAGTCAATGAGGCTCAATGGATTAATGCAGTCATTACCAAATCATTAGAGTGGAAGTGGTGCTGACACGTGACAGGTTTTCTTTGCCAGAGTAGACACGAAGCACTGCAGGTTGGGGCAAATGGTGCAGCATTAAAATCCAATTGGCCATAGCTTTTATAATGCAAAACCACAGCATTTTATCAGTTATTTCAGAGTTTTAAAGTGCTACTTGAAAGTTAGTTTGTGACGGCTCAAGTACATTTCCTGTCCCTTCTTTGTTATGTGTCAATACCCTGTGTTGCAAGGACAGATACAGAAGACAGCAGGAAAGACAGAAATGTGTATTTTTCATGACATGTACGTTGTGAAGGAAATTGTGCTGATGAGGAGGAGTGACAGCCAGCAACTAAAATATTCTCACCCTGATCTAACTGACTAAAGCGTTTCAAACTTTCCAGTAAAATCAGGCAAAAATAACAGGTTTAATATTCAAAATGAGGCTAAACTACACCTCAAAGCCTAAATCTTCCCTAAAATGTGTTCCAAACTAAGATTTAAAAAAAAAAAAAAAAAAAATAAAAATTTAAAATTAAAGGGGTTAAAGTTTTGTCACTGTCCGTCGTGCTGGATCTAGAAAAATTTGAAGGATTGTTAAATTGTTAATTGAAATAGATTGTTAGATAACTTCTCACATAAATGAACACAAAGAAGAAAGACCAACTAGACTTTTTTTTTTAGATAAATGATCACTTGAATGAACTTTATATAACTTTTTAATAAGTCTAAAAAAAAGTGCCTTTACTGTAAAACAAACTATAGGACAAACTATAGGACAGCACACTTTGACAGTCATGATCTAATTATCGGTCTCTTATGCCACCACATGCCACTCTAACCTGCTCTTTATCTTCAGGCTGTCGAGCAAAAATACAATTTGGTACTGTACAGACCTGGCTCCATTATCCACATAACTTCAGTAATTGTGCCATATTTAACCCCCACTGAGACACCAACACCTTTTGTATGAGCTAGATTTACTTGGACTTTAATGATCTCGAATCGGGCTCCTTGTTAGAAGCCATGTGGTGAATTTTCCCTCCTAGCTGCCCAGAAGAATGTTCGCACCTGCTTAGATTGACAAGCTCGTAATGGCTGATCTCTGAGGTTTAGGCTACACAGGCGTTTCTACGGCGTTAGTGCACGGCTGTCACAGAGTAAGCAGACCTCTCACCGCCACAGCCATGACAGCAAAGACACATGTCCAGGTAGCCAGCAGATCCATCAGTCTTCCATTTTTTGTCTCACTTCTTTCCAGGAAAGTGGGAGGGTCAAAAGCGTGAAGCACGGATGAATGAATATGACAGCGTGGTAGGATTTATGCCACTCTAATGAAAGTTATTTCTGCAAAGTTTTCCAGGTAATGGTACCATCAGATCAGAGAAAAGAAATGAAATGTAACCTCGGAGACAAGAACAGCAATGAACTGACAATTTTAAGCCAATGACAACTTTGAGGAACTAGTTAATTGAGTAAACATTTCACTCTGGAACAGTAGAGATCAACCAAATTATTACAAATGACCAAAGCTCTATATAAAGATCATAACTGGCCCATGTCACAGTCATAGTAATGTCAGGGAACAATACAACTGTGTACTTAACTTTTGTGCAACTTTGCAACTGTACACCCAATCTTTCTGATAGTCACAAGGCTTTAACTTTTTTGGTATCCTGCAATTCAATACAGAAGTGCACCGCATACTACATACAAGAGAAGCACTCAATATGTGATTTCTCTTTCCCTGCAATTATATATTACTATTTATTTATTCTGTGCAACAAAAGTTTGAATGGGAGCAAAGTGACACAGACCTTGAGGCAGGCAGTGTAAACAGTATACGGTGGTGTTGCAGGTTTAATCTCTCCACATGTGGCATTGTTGCAGCAAGTGGGTGGGTGGCTGCTCAGCGGGCACTTATCATATTTCTAATTGCCCATCTGGTGCAAAGCAGTAAGCAGGATGAGGTGTGTGCCACTTCACAAAGATTAATAAAGCGTTTCGAGAGCTGACTCAATTCATACAAGCAGAACATACTTGACTACAGCCTTGTGTATGTGGACTTTTTACTTTCTCAACAAAAACTATTCATGAACAGATCATGACTTCTTTCTTTGGATGCCCTGGCTCAGTTTGACTGCAATAAATGCATCTCACTGCTGAGGTTTTGTGGGGGTGGTATTTGACTGATGGTGCAATGGAAAGAAATTTTCAGCACATGTGTCTTTTGAAACATTTACTTCCAACAATAGCATTTGTCATTCTTCCAACATTTTTATGCAAAGTAATTTTTAAATCAGTACAGTGTCAGTGTGAGTTCATTGTGCCATTTGTTTGGATATGTGTTTGTGTAATGTGAGATATTTGGAAGGTGCTCTTCATAATTAACACTACATACTTGTTCTGGTTTCCAGGCCAGTTGTTAATTTTATTAACTTAAAGTTCATTTATCAGTATCTTCTGATATAAATGTCTGTCCAAATAAAACTGACTTACTTTAAAATACAATACTACTCACAATATTTTGAAATCACATCAACATAAATATATTTCAGGGATGATCAGAATAGGCACTCTTTGAATACCGGCAGGATGATCCTATTCCACCATTCAAAGGAGGTTATGTTTTGGACAAGACTGCATGCAGGTAGATTATGTTCTAAAGCCAAGGATCTGAATATCAGAGCCTCAACCCCTGCTGTGCTATGGCTATGGCTATAGTGTAGCTTAGTTGCCAGAGGTTGTTTGCATTTCTATATATGAAAAAATATATTAATATAAAAAAAAATAGAGTGACATGAAGATTCACAGCTTTAGAACATACTGTGTCTGAATGCACATAACCTTCTTGTAATGATGGACTAAAATGATCTTTTCAGCACACATGTGCTTCTTCAGATTTTTCCAGACAGATACCAATTAGCACTCAGTATCTGTGCACAAATCTGGGCCAGACAAACTATGAGAGAATAACTACTCGCCATTGGGAGCTGTTCTGGCCAGAAGCAAAAAATAACACAAACAAAGACAGTATGTTTGTTTAATTCCAGATAGAGGCAAGTAAACATCTGCAATAGGATTACAATGGGAGCGAAAACAAAGCAGCCTTGAGAGCAGTTCTTCACTCTAAATAATTAAAGTGCGATTAGACCGGCCAAAGGCTGTGCAATGGTGCTGTGGAGTGAACTAAAGCTTTAAATTTGGCTATTAGATTAGATAGTGTGAGAGATAGAGAGCCAAATAGATATATACAAATGAATCAATTGTTATGTTCCTGTTCCACTAACTGCCTAAAGTGGTATACCTGATTTTTGTTTAGTTTTTTTATTAACCATGAGGAGGAAGTTCATTTTTAAACTGTTATTTGACTGCTCTTACTAGTTCTTAGCTCTTACAAGCCCTTTAGCACATTGCTAGTATTCATTAGCATTCATCTTTGGGGTACATGAACAGGTTTAGAACAGCTTCTTAGACAAAAAGCAAAGCAAATCTCTGTTCTCTGCACATCAGCTCGCATTCCAAATAAAATGCTTTATATTTTGATGTGGGCAGTGTGCTGTGGTGTGACTTTTATGCACTTATTGGTGTTAAAAGAAGGTACTCTAGCTTTAACTTCAAGAGCATTACTGGTAAAAATCTGAGAACGGCTTATTGAGTGTGTGGAGAAAGTCTATTCCATCTATGCAGAGGCACTTCACATGGCCTTGTGCGGCAATGCAAATACAAGAAGCAGATGTCTGAAATTGTTCACACAAAGTTGACAGCAAACAACGTGTCATAAATATTGACATCTCATTGTGACAGCAGCACACTCCTAAGCTCCTGTCTGAAGCCCTGCGTAAACACACACACAAACACACACACAC